ATTCATGAATACTTTTTTCAAGGCGCTGCATCATTTTACCATCAGAGCTTTTCATGAATAAATGTTGTTAAAGTCTTAAAAGGACCACTCACTTTTAAGCATTGCTTGGTCGCACACACCAATGACAAACCTCCTGTTGGCCAGGAGACACGAGATGCTGAGCAGCGTCTTGTGGGCTCCATGCAGGCGGTCGAACGTTCCTCCTACCACTACATCGCTGTAGGTTTCCATGGGTCCAGCCTTTTGTTCTTGGTCACATTTTGGCTCGTCCCCTTTCTCCTGCAGCTCTACCAGCTGCGGATGAAGCAGCACTGATGAGATACCGGGTCCACAGACATAGCAGTGGCCGGTGTACTTCTCCAGACACTGCTGGACCTGATTGGACTGATGCGGGTCCTGCAGCGCAAAGTCCGTCAGCACCACGTCTGGCGAGTGAAACAGAGGCTGCGGTGTGGGGAAGGGGCAGTTCGTAGCTGCGTTCCCGCCGCCGGCAGCCGGCTGAGCGCGGATGTTAGTGAGCAAAACCCGAACATCCAGGTGGCCGCATACGTCCGCCGCGTTGTTGTAGAGCCGAGTGATGAGCGTGGACAGGTCGACTACGGGTGAAATGAAAACGGGTCGAGGTTGGGTCCCACTGGTCAGGTTGAGGCCGGGATGGAGGTGGACGTACAGCGTGCGGTCGACGAGCTGAGCGGCCGAGCTGAGAACCGGAGCGATGCGCAACGGGAGAGTCTGGAGAGGAGATGTCAGCACAAGGATGCCTGTGCTGAACATGGACATGGTTGAGTCTGATGATCACAGGGATTCCCAGGAGTCTCAGAGGAGAGTCACAGTGGGCGGCTCACTGAGGAAGACAAAAGCGGGGTAAATTATAGGTAAAGAGCTTTAGTTCAGTGGTGTACAAACTTTTTACCCTGGGGGCCACAAAGGGCAAATTCAAACTCCTGGTGGGCCACAAAATTCATTAATATGTAAACATTTGTTTGTGATTGTTTTTTTGTTTTTTTGTTTCTACTCAACAACATTTTTCTTTTTCAAAATCTGTCTAACTTTACAGATTCAAAACATGAAGAGGGCTTCCAACAGTTGCCTCTTACAAGGAAAACAATTTCCACTTTTTTGGGGGTCATTAATTATTTTCTACTTTGTTGGCCAAAATGTTTACCATTCTTGACTTGTGGTCAGGGGCCAAATGAAATCCTTTCAAGAGCCACAAATGACCCCCGGGCCACACTTTGAGACACCATAGCTTTAGTTTGTATTATTTAAATAAGGCAAAAGCTAATATTGTTAAAGGACAATACAGCTGAAATCAAAAGTTTATCTACACTGAATGAAAAGACACAAGTAACTTTTTCAAACTCACAAAAATGATTTCTATTTGCTAAATTCCACATTAATTACACTACAAAAATACAAAATCTTACAGAGTAATTTTTGTCTAGTTTCTAGTGCAAATATCTTAGTACACAGAAAATAAGATAAAACTATGTTACAAATAAGTTTTCTGCAAGATATTGGAATTTGTTTTAAGTTAATAATTTCTAAAAATTGCAGAAAAACATTAGAAGATTAATTCAAGACATTTTTCCCCAGGATATGCATGAATTAATCTGCCAGTAGAACTAGTGCTTTTTCTATAATTTTAAGGAATTATTGACTTAAAACAAGCTCCTATATGTTGTTTAAAAGTTACTTATGAGTTAGTTTTGTCTTATTTGAAGTGCTCTAAGATATTTGCACGAGAAACTAGACCACAATTACTTGGTAATATTTTGTGTTTCTGCAGTGTAGAGGAAGAGTATGTCAGAGATTTATTTATTAATGTCTTTAAAATCGGAAGTTTACATACAAAACAATTACCAATTATTTAAACAGTGAATTAAAGCCCAAAAATATATCAGGAAGAGAATTGTGGAGCTGTTCAAGTCTGAATGGCTGCAGCACATTCGTAATGATAAACTCCAATAATGTCAGAGGTAAAGAAGGTTCAGTTCCTCCAGGTAAGGAGTGTCTCACTTTGGGACAAATTGCAACCACTGATTGCTCAGTAGTTGCTGACAAACCAGCTGGATTGACTGACGGGTGGTGTCATGTCATGTAACATGAAAAGCCAGATTACAGTTTGCAAATGCACACAGGGACAAACACCTTGATTTCTGGAGACAGAAACTAAAGGAGGATTTTTTTTTTCACCCCTGCAACTGGTTATATTTAAACACAGTGGTAGATAACATTTTAACTCAGAGTTACAATGTCCAAACACCAAGCTTAGATGCACTTTAGGAGTGAACAGAGTGGTGCACTTTGCACTCTTAATTTGTCATTCTGGCAACAGATCAAAACCCCAAATTCGTTCAGTAATTGCTGATTAACATCAATACTTCCAATCGATACAAAAAGCTGTGCGACAATAAATGCAGTCACCTTTTTCAGTGTGGATTTAATATAATCTGTTGGTAAAGAGGTCTCATTTTTAAACAAAATAAATCATAAAATAGTCCCTTAAATTAGTCCTACTCACAACTAGCTAGCCACATTTAGAGCAACAATCATACTTCATAAACAACTGCACAAAGAAAACTGAACGTAAAGCAATAGGAGCGAGTTAAATGTGTTTTATATCTATCATCCATAATTTAATTTGCATTTTTGCCCCATACACATGTTAAGCCCCAGAAACACAGCTTTAACTGTCGTTTGTAACTGACAGCTAACTGCATACATATGCAACTGAGCAGCTACTTACCCGATGAAGAAAGCTAACGAGACATGAAGAACGGACTAATCGTCATATGCACAGCTGTACACATATTTACTGTGCTGACTGTTCATCGGACAACCTTCATTTACACACACTTTAAGCCAGTTCACACTCCTCTTCTGTTTCTTACAGCTAGGAGGCAGCTTCTGGTTGAAGTTACGGGGTCCGCATCATTTCCACGCAGCCGGAACACCGAGTAGGTGGAGTCTGCGAATTATTCCCCATAGAATATTTGTTTTGTCGAACATTAATGTCGGCATTCAAGATAGATATTTCTTATAGGTTGCCACTATTCGGTGAACATATCTCCCCGTATTGGGTTCTGTAAATAAACTCCTCACAAGCCGCTTCTGATCGAGTCTATCCGGCTTCCTCACCGGAGATGACAAAAGGAGCAGGTCCCTCACTTGATTTGTTAATAGTCACGTGACGTTTCACGAACAGGGGTCGCATTCTGTGGCAGTCAGCCGGGTGATGGGGCGGGTATACGATGACGACGCCGACTGGGAGGAATTTAACTCTGAAATTTAGATAAAATTCGTTTTTTTGGCGGCAGGAAGTGGTTATTACAAAACAACTCACTTACAGCGTTAAAATCTAAACGCTGTCCCTTTACTTCCTGCCAGTATTCTCTATTGACTTATTTATACTTAATACTGTGTTTGCTCAAAGACTGTAAACTTACTGACAAATACACAAATTACATCTATTTAAGTTTTTCTTTTTGTTCCTACAAGTCTACAAACCTCCTTAGGTGTAGTTGAGGTGGAGTTCAGATGTTTCTTTCAAGGCTGGGTGCGCTTGGCGTACTGATTGACTCGCCGGATTAAAAATGATGCGCACCCACAGAATATTTCAGGAAACTACTGAAACGCCCCCGGGAATTGTGGGATATGTAGTAAATTTCAAGTTTCTTCCAACAAACTGTTAATTTATTGGTTTTAAATTACTATATATGCAACATTAACCATTAAGATATTTGTATTATGTGCTATTTTTCGCGTCACCAAATTTTATAGTTGTTTTTTTTGTTGCTGCTGCTATTAGAGAGTAGATGTTAAATAGGTTGTCAGTTTATATGTAATCCTGATTTTATCTTCACACATAAAATTGAAATTTTGCTTGCTCTACAGTTAGTTTACACTGAACGTTTTTATTTTTATTTTTAAATTTTTGAAGAACCAAAGGGCGACAGAATGTATCATGCTGGAACTAATGTAATACAAATTTATTCATTAAAAACGTTAAGAAAATTGTTCATGCGTTAATATTTCCTCCAGGGCAAGTTTAGAAAAGTTTGGGACGAGTTTCACAGCCGTCATGATTGAAATTCCTGGGTAATTTATTTTCTTTAGCCCGAGGCTCTTGGGAAAGCATTAAGCAGGGGAATTTACGGCATTTACAAACACAAACTGCCAAATAAAACTGACCATTAGGGGAGTTTTTTTTTCTTTTAATTGGAAATTTAATAATTTAATGCAATTCTTTTTTTCCCCTTTACAAATATAAAACGTAACACACTGTTATCTTGCAGAAGCAGCTTCATTTGGGTTGCCTGGGGGTTAGAGAGGCAAAGATACTGCATATGGCAATGAAAAAACACACAGTGTAAGAGAGAAAAGAATTGAAGATTCAAGTAAAAACAAACTCCTGGCAATTTTTGGAAATTAAGACACATGTTGGCTTTTTCACCCTGGTGAGAGGAATGCAGATCCTCATAAAAGATGGTTTGATCAATGAAATCAAACCATCTGTAAACTCAGTTTTTGGGATAAACGACACTTTATTTAAAAATATTTTTGTAACACTATATATAAACCCTGACATATATTTAAATAAAAAAAATTACACTATTTCTAAGTGAAATCAAAATTAATAATAGCGTTAACAATAAATTATTACATTCCATATGTGCTAAACATCCGAGCTGTTTCTAATATGATCTGAAGATCTGTGTTTTTCTGATCCTTAAACTATGGTGCCATCTTGTGGACGAGTCTGGTAACAGCAGCTGTATCTGCCTTACGGTCCGGATTCCTCTACAGCCTTTTATGTCTGTGTGTGGATCTGAAAGAGACTTCCTAGTTATAAACCACTTGTACAGGTTAAAAAAAGAGTTCAAATCACGCCCACCTACGGCATCCACTGCTGTACCAGCTACAAAATGGTGCGCACCCAAATGACTCATGACAAAACTTTGCCTGGTAAACAATGGCAACAAAGTTTCAGTTGTAAACCTTATCCTTAAAAACACTGTGACTTTCTAAAACAGATTTTACAAGTCACCCAAGTGTAATTTTTCTTCCGCGTTTTCCCGGAATACGCCCACCTATCATAGCCACGCCCACTAGAGCACCTGAGCAGAAAGAAAAAGACGTCTTATCGGAATCAGACTTCCTGATGTTGGATGTTTTACATTTTTCTACCATCATGATTATCAGGAAACCCATTTTCATAGCTTTTATCCTCCACTTATGTATTTCTGAGATAGAAAACAAGGGTGAGTGATATTTCAATTGTTTGTTTTTTGGGTTCGTTTTGAAAAAGAAAAGTCGCTTTAATTCTGTATTTCTCTTAGACCGATCGGGTCATAGAAGTATTTTTAATTGACCTCAGATTTATTGACAGGCCAGCTTCTGGAAGTATGTTCTACTTTAATCGTGTTGTTTTATTTAACAGAACAAAAGGATATTGATTGAAATGTTACCTAATTCAATTGTTCTGGGTGTGTGCTCGGATTGCTTGTAGATTCCTTTTTCAGCATTTGCTATTCAAAGTGTTCCTTCGCAGCAGTATTTTTGCATTGTTTCCTTTCCACCTCCAGAAGATTTCAGTGGGTTTACATCAAAACTGCCCAAATACTCCATTGTAAAGCCACAAGTGATCAACAACAGGTGGACAAGGAGTCTCAATCGGACCTCACAGACGGAAGAGGTAGTAGGTTCCTGGCGTTATAAATGTTCTTTAACTTCCTTTTATCTGAGTTAGTATAATTACGTGATTATTTTTGTTTGTTTGTGTTGTGTTCATATAGGCATATGGAGATAAAGTATCTTACACGCTGATGATCAACAACAAAGAGCATATTCTCCATCTGGAAAAGAACAGGTAGGAACTCATCATCACTGACATTGAAGGCGATAGAGGTTCATCTTAATAAAATCAAAACTTTTAAGTTATTGCAGTGATCCAGTTAAGAGTAATGCTACAATCCTACTTACAGTAGAGAAAGTGATTTGTTTTAAGTGTGTATGTCGAAGTATGATTATGGCTTGTACATAATCTAAACTCAATTATTTGCATCCTGGCAGTTCTTCCTTCCACTGAACTTTCCAAAAGTCTGAGCATTCTCAGAGTTCTTTAACTGTTTATTGTTCTAAGCAACTGAAATTTGTGTGTTTGATTAGCTGTGAGCCAGATTTTCAAAACAAATAAGCAAAAAAACCCAAAACAAAAACATGGAACACTTTTTAAGTTTAACTGCAGAACTAAGTTACATTTTGGATGATATCACAATTTTTTAAGATCCACTGGTAATTTTTAATCTTCAAAATGAAACATTTATTTTTTTTTCTCTTCTACTCAGAGGATTTTTACACCCAAATTTTGTCCAGTATTCTCGTGAGGCCAGCGGTAACTACAATACCTCATATCCAAGACAACATGTGAGTTTCCTGATTGGCCGTTCGTCCTTAAAAGAACTGCTTTAAGAAAAAAAAAAAGTGTTAAATTACATTATTCTAAATTTTCAGGTGAACTGCTACTACCATGGGTCGGTGGAGGGATACGAAGGTTCAGTGGTTGCGCTCAGCACGTGCTCCGGCCTCAGGTTTCTACCTTTGCTTGGATTATTGGCATGCAGAACATTTTACATTCCAGTTGGAGTTTATTTATTTCAGGAACTTAATTAATTAATTACAAAAGCACATCTTCAATCCTTTATTTTTGTTTTCTGCTTACAGTTATTGAAAACGTGATCTTTGTGATTTGTATATTTCATCAGACCAACAAAAGAAAAAAGAAATTCCAGAAACGTGAACTTAATGAGTTGTACATTTCTTGCCTGCTTAAAGGTTGTTATTTTAAAAAGCTTTTTTATTCTCACATCTTGTGACCAGCCTCCCTTTTTCTGTTGATAAGAAGCTCCAAAAATAAAACAAAATAAAATGAGACTGGCGACTCTGGAAAGATCATCAAACTTTCAAAAGTATTTGTTTTTTTATTTCTATTTTGTAAAATGCTATTTTGAAAATCATTTATGCCCCTCCTAAACATTTGTTACAGCAGTCAGATCCAATCACTGATCACAGAGCTGCTTTTTGCAGTTTTCCACTGGTATTTTGACGATGTATTTTTGTTGATGAGCTCCACATTTCTGAGGAGAAATCACCCTAAGCTTTAGCTCCCTCCAAACATTCTCTGTCACATTCAGGTTGGGACTCTAAAATTATAATAACCAAGACGTTATTATGACTCTAAGCCTGAAGTTTGAGAAAAATGTGTTCTAACTGCAACCCAACTCTCTGTTTTTGCAATATCATGCAGCCATTCCCTGGAGTTCATTGCTACCGATCCATTTTTATTTGATTGCTGAGCCGCTGAACTTCCATGGTACCGCTCTATATCATTCCTTTAGCCTGCTGTGCTCTACGTCTCCACAGGGGTGTGATCCTCCTTGAAAACGAGACGTTTGGACTGGAGCCCGTTCCGGCGTCCACCACCAACGAGCACGCTCTCTACCTCCTGAAGGACTCTCATTCTGAGCCAGTCACCTGCGGGGTCGTTGGTGAAGCAACATCGACACCCAACTATGAACCCTTTGAGCCTGCCCAGTCCATGACTTCTCTCCTAAGGGTCCGTTCTACATCTAAATGTTTAGAGTGTAAAATGGAGACTTTTCTGTCTAAATCCTTTTCCTTTGACTCATTTTTGTCTCAACAGAGAAAACGCGCTTTACCTCAAACCAGTTACATAGAGTTGGTGCTGGTCGTCGATAACCTCAGGGTGAGTGTTTGTGATTTACTTTTCGTTTTATCAGTAAAATACATCCTGATTTAACCAATGAACTGGTCTGTCGTGATGAAGACACGGCTGACTTAAATGGCTCTCCTTTAGCGATAGGGTGAGAAGCTCAGTCTTTCAGGAGGGACTCGGTGTAGAGCCGCTGCTCCTCCATGTCAAGAGGAGCCAGTTGAGGTGGCTCAAGTATCTGGTTAGGATGCTTCCTGGACACCTTGGTGTTCCAGACACGTCCCTTAGTAAGTGGACTCAACCCATGTGTGCTGAAGCAGAGAGACATCGAAAAGTTTTAGGATACCGACCCTTGAGGATTGGAGCTGGAGACCACTGGCTTAGAGAATAATTGTTGAAAAAAAAATGTTTGAGTATTGAGACTGAGACTTTTTTTATTTTTATTTTTTTTTTACTTGGATGCACCAGATTAAGGGATCCAATAATCTCGATGTCCTATTCTTCTGAAGGTTTATGGGTTATAGTCAAGCTACTACCAGAGCTGCACCCAGATCCTGCTTGTCTTCTTCTCAATTTAGCTACCAAATCAGCAACGTCACTGCAGAACTTGTTGGATCTGAGTTCAGGAGCAACAGGTTGTGAGGGATGAGAAATCCTATGAACAATGAGGACTAAAGTCCGGGGATTATTGTGGCTTTTATTGATTATGTCAGAAAGTCAACATAACTTATTTGCTCAAAGGTGATCTTTCACTTTCAGAGTTCAGAGGGAACTTTGGTCTCTCTAGATAGGCCCTGATAAGAATTAGTCATAACTACAACAACCACTACAGAGACATTCCTTTAAATCAGCGGTCTGAAACTCTAGTTCATAATTGTTGGTGTCCTGCAACTGGTAGCATCTGTTCAATATTCTATAGTTTCTAACCTATTAATGTAGATACATTACATGTTAATAAATGTGTCCCCACTAACAAAATACATTGTAATTTTTAACAAGACGTTATTTGAATAATTTTCAAGTGATACACCATAACCTTAAGCTTAATAAATGCATTTAAATGAAAAATTATGTGCTTTCTTTGGCCACTACTATATAATGTATAAAGTTTGTCAGTAAAGAAGGTTGTTTACTTTTTAAACTTCGAAAATCTCTTACAAAAATCTTTCTCGCCGTTTGCTAAACGCTTACCTTCATCTGTCATCTTTTCACCTTCTCCATCAGAAAGTTTGATCTTAGTGTAACATTTCACTAAGAAATAATACTTTGGCAGTCATCAATCTTCTTGTAACATATTGAACTTTTAAACATTGCAATTATGTGACTCAGAGCTATGCTACAAGGCTGAATCAAGTGATTATGCACGTTTATTTTATTGTTGAGAATGTGGTTTGTTTTTGTAAACATTTGACCTTTTTTAACAGTATAATTACAAGCAACAAAATGAAACGGCAGTCAGAGAGGAGATGGTGCAAATGGCAAACCTCTTGGACGGGGTGAGAGTTTCTGCTGTGTTTGTAGATATCTTTGTTATTCTTCAATTGCTTTTGCACAGGCTCTAGTATCTTTACAATCTTCAAACTAAGAATTGCCTCAATTGTACCGATAATCGCTGATGCTAACATAAATCGGCCTCTCTTTTTTTCTTTTTTTCTTTTAGTACTACAAACCGCTCAATATCCGAGTTGTGCTTGTGGGCCTGGAGATTTTTAAGCAAAGTAATCCTTTCAGTGTGGACGGCTCTGCTGGACAGGTGCTGGGAGAGTTTGTTAAATGGAGGAAGAGCACGCTGTTGCCAAAGATCAGGCACGACATCGGTCAGCTCATTGTGTAAGTAGCATTCGTCTGTTTTTATTTAGCAGAACAAACCATTAACTTAGGTTTCTGTCTGTGCTTGAGGTTGTTAGAGAAGACTTTAACCTTGTTTATTTCTCCATGTGACTGCCAGCGGTCGGTCGGGGTCATACGGCGGTGGCGTTTTGGGCATGGCCTATGTTGGCACCGTCTGCTCCGTTGCGAGCTCTGGAGGAATTAACGTGGTAGGTTCTGTTTTAACCTCGAACGCCTGCTGACACAACGGTGCTTTGACACAATAAGCTTTTACAGGAAATCTGACACGGTATGCTTTATTAATGGGGGACTGCTGACTGTCTCAAGCTCTAAGTGACACACCGGCGAAACAGGTCTGACTGGAATGCCTCTAACCTCCATGGCAAACCTTCTTTCTTTAGGTTGCCACATTCTTTAGATGCTTTTGGCACTCTGATTTACAAATGGCTGCGTGTGTATTTATAGCTGCTGTAGAAAGTAGAAAGTAACATCTATAAACTCTTTGTTTGATGTAAAGAGTTGGAGTCAAAATGCAAAAACTACCTTTAAAAACTAAGTACACCCACTGACTCAGTGGCTGGTGGTTTATCTGCAGAACAACACAAATTTATTTTGATAACACCTTATCAGTTTAACATGCCATTATGAAGGAATATTTTTCCAGTCTTGACTTGCATGCTTTTAGGTTTTTAGAACTGTTTGCATCTATTTTGCACAACTTGCTTGAGGTTTTGTTGCAACCTCTTCAGTCAAGTTCGGATTAGTGAGTGCAGTGCCTCGGCTTTTTATTTATTTAGCGATTTTGCTTTAGGTTGCTGCTTTTGTTTGCTTTCCGCTTCACAGCTTTATTTTGGTAAGATTTCATCTGATTGATGAGTGTCTTCACTTTTCAGAGTGGAGTGCTTTGGTTTACTAAGGATCTTGTGACTGCTTAAAATAATTTTAGTTGCGACTCCAAAACTAGCCCATATCATTAACCTTCCACCACCATGCTAGACCATTAATATGCTGTGTTTATGCCTATTTATTGCTCTGGGTATTATGCCACTTAAACAAAGCTTTGATTTCATGTTTTAGAGAAAATTTCTTAAGTTTAATACATTTTATTATATACAAAGTTAGAAACTTAGTTGAGTTGCCATTTTTGCATTATAATAAACCTCTTTTTTTTTTTTGCTTTAACACAGATAAAAAATAAAATCCAGTACTTATTTGGAGCAAATTTGTTAGGCAGGCTTCAAACTTGCTGGCATCCATAAACCTTTCTTATCTGATGCATGATTACATAGTCATTTTTAAGCTTTTAACCTTTGGACCTGTTTCCTTGGACAGAGCAGAGACCTAGTTAATGCTCTTCAAAATCATAAAGACAAGAAGTTATGTATTGCAGATGCATGCTGACCTACATAAACCAGAAAATAGCTGCAAGAAAATATCTACTTGCCTGATCAACTGAAAGTGACAAACTGAGCTGCATGAGGACAGAAATGTATATTGTTACGAAGTGCAGTGAAGGTGATGGGAAGGGAGGTCAAAAAACTGTCAAAACATTGCTGACTGTGTAGCAAAAAGTAGGTCCTCTGGTCACTCAATGTCCATTACATTTATTTATTTCAAGGCTTTTTCACATCTTTACAAAAAGAGACCACAGTCATGGAAGGAACCGTACTTGATGTTTTCTATTTGTGCTGTTTTAACTTGCAAAACAGTGCTATGCACCTTTAACTTCAACTCCTGTTTCACTATTATTAAGATATGCTGTTTATAACCTGTTTTCAATGTGATCATTTTCATTGTACTTAAGAGTTTCGCACTTAACATGGATGCTGTTGGATGTCCTCTACCTGTGAATTATTTTTTCCTACTATTATTAGTCAGACATGGCGTTATAGGCATGCCTAGAATCGTAAACATTACCAAAACCTGGCAACTGCCAAAACAATGGCTTTTATTCAACTGGCTAAAAAAAATACCTTTGCTTAGTAAAATCCAGTTGTTCTCAGTTCCTATGGAAGCAGTAAAATTAACTGTTCTACACCAAGTACAGTTTTAGCTTAGCTTTCCTTAACAAATGAACTTGTATATTATTTTAAATCATATTTACTCAATTTTAAGGACTATGCAAGATCTAGATGTGTTTTTATCATGAAATGCAAAATCTTAAAAGCATAAACCTTTGCCAGCTCTCTTGCCATGGTTGTATGTTTAAAAACAGATCTTTTCTTTTTTTTAGCTAAATACCACGCTTTGTTTTCACAGTACAGCAATGACAACTTGAATTTTGTTTCCACTGTGGTGGCCCATGAGATGGGCCATAACCTGGGCATGAATCACGACTCCAGTGGCTGCGCCTGTAACGGAAAGAGCTGCATCATGTCAGCGGGAGCCGGGTAAAACATTATCCACCTATTGTATTCTATATCCATATTTCTTTCGTAGTTTTTCATTAAAACAACATAGAAGCTTTTTGACATTACTTTTGTTTCACTCTAGCCCGCTTTGTTTGTTTAATGCTGTTACTTTGTAGCGGTGCCGTCCAGTTCAGTAAATGCAGCGAGCAGGACTTTGAGTCTTTGATTGTCCGCGGGGGAGGCGTGTGTCTTAGAAATCAACCTTCGGCATCAGACGTGATTGGCACCGCTGAATGTGGCAACGGACGCCTGGACAAAGGAGAGGAATGCGACTGTGGCACAAAAGAGGTAAAGAAGTTAGAAAATTGGGTAACGCTACATTTGACGGGTTGTGAATAAGACTGACATGACCAATAATGATCATATGTAATAAATATGTCATAATAGTAGTCATAATAATGTCGTTAAGTGTTATTACACTGTCAAAAACGTTAAAACAGTAATTATTTCTCCCTACCTGAAATAAAGCGGAACAAGTAGGACGAACAATAAAGATTTAATTAAGCTTTAAAAATAGTCATTAACAATTCCTCTTTCATCAAGTTGAACAAGTATCACCATTTATGACGATGTCATTAAGAGTTATTACAGTGTCATTAACATTATCTCTTACCTACATAATTTTTAAAGTGTAATCGGTAATACTTTTATAACAAATTTATGACAAATCATGATTTCTTGGTTAATGTCAAGTTGTCATAATGAAGACATTTTGAATATTGTCAACTTTGTATTAAAAGTGTCATGATTTACCGAATGACTCTTTATGACACCAGTCATAAATATTCATAAAGACTCCTTCATGTTCATGACAGGTGTTATGTCATGTTTATAACAGTGTCATGTCAGTCTTATTCACACCCTGTCAAATAAAGTGTTACCAAAAATTGTTCTTTGTTTTTGTTGGATTTCTGGACTTTGCAAACTGGCGCACAGAAGCTTTAGTGCCTACTGTGTGAATCTGACACAGAAACTGTGTCGATGTCGCCTTTTTGTGGACAATAATTCGCACATCAAAGTACATCACTGAATGAAATTTAACTGAAGTAAGTAGTAGTTTATAGGTCAGAGTTAGGCCTCCTCCTGACCTATAAAACACTAGTTAGGAGTTAAAAATCAACCAGAACATGGACAGTATTTCCAGGTTCTTGAAGATATGTTCAGGGTTGTATCACAAACAAAGTTCCCATACTGTCTAAGCATGCTCAAAACCTCTACAGGGATCTGATTAGGTATCTTGTTGGCAGCATGTTTTTTCCAAGCATGGCATAGAGGAGTTTGATAACAGCAGTAGATTGTGTAGTTGGGCTCCTGCCAGTGCTTGAACAATTAGTGTGCTGGCAGCACTTTCAAGTAATAATTCACTGTGACAGCCAGAGGCAAGTCACACCTTGCCTCTGCACTGGCTTCAACCAGAAAAGATCTTCTCAAGCAACAGCAATGAAAGACCTCAACCTTCAATAGGAGTGCCGTACTTGGATGCCTTGCACAGAAATCCCTGTGCCCTGGCCGTGGTGTGTAAAAGGGCTTCCGCCTGAGGAGAACTGTGCACACCTCCAAATTGCACATAGGCTGGTTACTGGGATACTAAAGGATGGTATTTGTTTTCCAGGCTGACATTTTGCCTGAAGAGTTACAAGATAAAATCCCTTTTTGTAGAGAAGCAGTGTGAGTGGAAGAAAACATTAATAACAAAATGCTATTGTAATTATAATTGTTGTGCCATTTAGAGTTTCAGAGCTCTCCTCTGAGTGACGTAGACTGACATTTGTTTTTTTGTTTTTTTTAAATGGCAGTAAAAAAAACACACACATTGTGCATGTTGCACGAATAATTCTGACCTCACCCGTCAAAGAATGTCTTTTTTCCCTATGTGAAGGGGCCCTCTTATAAAAAACGTAAACTCTGTATAGATGGGACAAGTCTGTATTTACAGACGATGTGAGTAAAACTCTGACTGAAAACACTGTTGTTGTTCTCTTTTTCACAAAGATGCTCATTGTGCTTTTGAAGCATCCTTCTTTGTCAGCTTAAGATTTTTAAGTCCCTGATTCTGATGCTGCTTCCCCATCAGATCATGACAGACATGTAGAAGAGATGTAGCGTTTTGCTACAAATACTGTAGGAACTAGTATATTTTACTCTCTCTTCTCACAAATGTCTGCAATTGTGTCTCGAGTCCAATCTAGTTATCTGGTTGGACAACCAAGATATGAGATATTTATACTCCTTTACCGTAACCACTTCCTCTTCCACGAGGGAAATGGTGTTTGACCTACTCCTACTTCTCCTTGTTTGTACAATCATCTCTTGTTTCGTTGACGTCTAAGACAAGAGGAATGTTTCCACTCAGGAAACAAAGAGGTCAAAAAGTTGTTTATACTCAAATTCTTGTCCGTCTGTGATTAGTCATCTGAGTATTTCTGCTGACCAGTGGACTTAGATTTGTTATGCAATTCGAATGTGCACAGAGTGAAAAGGAATGATGAGAGTACAGTGCTCTGTGGTTCTCCTGTGCTGCTGACACACTGATTGTGTTTTGGAGAATCTGACATTGCAAAAGTGTTCCTTGCTTTTAATGTTGACTTTAAGTTGCTGCTCTGCCAACATTTCCCAACAATTCCTTATGTCACTTCCTTTCTTCCTGTAATGTTAACTTTAAGTTACTGTTCTACACTCCCCAATAACTCCCTCTGCCCCTCCCTGAAGGCTTTTTTTCCCCTCGTTAAGCAGTTTTTTCAGGTCTCAGGTGATCCAGGCTTTGCACCTTTAAAATATAGTTAAAAAAAGTAAATGTGAAAAATATGTATCAAGGCAACTCTGTTTAAACATTTTAAAAAGGAGTTCCCTAATGAACCTTTAGAAAACCACTGTTGAAGTTTCCAAAAACATATAAGTGAGGTATATATTTTTAATTGTTTTTAAAAAATTTTGTTATCATTGTATGCTATGTATTGTATGGGGATCGATAAAGTATTGTCTGTCTGTCTGTCTGTCTGTCTGTCTGTCTGTCTTGTCCACTGTTCTTTTATTTGAGATGTTCTTATTGTGTGCATGTTTCAGAGTTAAAACAGTTCATTTTGGATGTATAATGTGCTGTTATAGTTTGTTCCCTTTTTATTTCACACAGGAATGTAAGAACGAGTGCTGTGATGCTGCCACCTGCAAACTGACTCGTGGTTCCTCTTGTGCTCATGGTTACTGCTGTGAGAAGTGTCAGGTCTGCAAACCCTTTCAGTACAGGTGAAATTTCATCCCTTTTGCCTTCGCCATGTCAAAGCGATTATTTTTACTTCCCTGTCTCTGGTAGTTCAAAGTGGCTGGAACTCAGTGCAGAAAGTCAGCCGACGTCTGCGATCTTCCGGAGTATTGTAATGGCAAAAGTGGATTTTGTCCTGAAAACTTTTACATCATGGATGGACTGCCATGCAAAAACGATGCAGCCTATTGCTACGAAGGACACTGCCAGACGTACGATTACCAGTGTTTACAACTGTTTGGATCGGGTATGTTCTGTTGTGATCATTCGAGAAATCCATTTGGTTTATGCTGTTACTTGTTTCGATCTAATATTATTTTTGTAACGAATTAAAATGATTGACGTATGTTTTGCTCTCTTGTTTAGTAACTTAATCTCTTCTCTTGCTGCTCATATTTGATACTTTCCTTTTTGAACAGGTGCAAAAAAAGCAGATGATATTTGCTTTGAATATGAAAATGTAAAGGGCAACGTGTTTGGGAACTGTGGCATCACCAGCAATGGAGGCTACATAAAATGTACCGTGGCGTAAGTACTTACACTTCAAAAGTTTCAGGTGTGGGTCAGTAAATTAAAATATAATCCAAAAAATGGTCTTTTCAGCACCATAATTCAAAATCTGCCACATGCAACACATTAAAATGATGTTTACTGTGCATAGACATACCGAAAGACATACTGGTACGTCATTTCTTGTCATGACTTGCTGCATCAGTGCGGCACATGTTCCAAAAGGAATCAGCTTGTGCGTGATCAGGAGGCCTGGGCTGCTTTCATAGCAGCTTAGCTCATGTGTATATTTGGGCTAGTGTCTCATCTTTTCCTAGATTTTGTTTTTTTTAGGTAATTAGAGATTCCACAGACATTAAAGCAGGGATTTGGTACAGGTAACATTGTGGGAAAGTCGTAAGTATTGCTGAAAAATGAAAACCTCATTGACCTGAAGCTTCCCGGCAGACGGAAGCATGAAGTTCGTCAGGCAGACCTGCACTAACAGATGACAGGAACTTGCAAAAGAAACTTAAAGCTAGACTTTATGCAACTCCACTCAGCAGTCAATCTCTGGAGCCTTGACTTCTACATAAAATCCAAACTTTACTTCCCTCTTAAAAAAGAGAACCTTAAACTACAGAGCAACAGCTGAGATTTTCTTTTCCTCCCACCGCCCACGTAAAGCACATCTGACGTCTGGTGAAGCAGACACACAGGAACTGTGAAAGCCCATGCTTTGGATACTTGTGAAGCACTGATTGCTTCTTTAGGAATGACTGCTTTGAGGCTTACCCTCCCTGTGAAGGTGCTATGGAAATTATTAACAAAAAGGGTAGAGAAACTGATAAGAAATGAGAAAGATCAATCTTTGCCTTTAAATGTTTTATTTCGAAGGCCTGAAGCGGTCGAAGACTCTGTCACTGAAGGCAGACGAGTAGAGAAGAGCCCAGCGGCACAGCTGCATACATTTCGGTTAAAACCACATCCTGTTTTGACTCACACACATATTGGAAAAGTAGCAACAAAGGGGAAAACTTAATAAAAACAGCTTAACTTGCATAGACACCCACTTTAAGCCTTCCTTGAACTCTGTGATTGTCACGTACGTTATCTGATGCACATGCTTCCTGCACTACGTGTGCTTAGAAAACCGCTTGCGTACATACGAAGTGAAACAGACACGCCTATGAAAATAAAAAATGCAGGTATATGTACTAATTTTTTCACTTCAAAGGGTATCGGGTTTTTTGTAGGCCATAAAATTTTTTTTTTAAAAATTTTTTTTTTTTTTTTTTTTATTGGCCTTAACTATTCATTTATGTGGAAATCGAGATATTTGTTTTTATCAGCTGGCTATTGATATCTGTAAAAAGAATTGCATTTTTATTTTAATTACCGAGATGCAAGTGAACTGCAAATCTTGAAGAAAATAGAAATAAAGTGGCATCTAGTTGAATTTAAAAATGTATATACTTTGCAGTAATAGTAGTATCTCTTTTATAGGAATGCCAAATGTGGAAAGGTGCAGTGCACTAATGTGGATTTAAACAACCACCCTGCTGGTGCCCAAATCAGCATTGACATAGTTCAGGGATCCAAATGTATCAATGCAGACTTCAACCTTGGAACCGACGTTCTGGATCCGGCTTATGTTAACCCCGGCAGTCCGTGTGACAATGGAAAGGTGAGCCAATAATATTTACAATGTTCTGTTGAGGAGACGGAAGTGAAACGGCAGATTAAGTTTGACTGGATGTTTTCGATCCTCTACTTTAGACCTGCGTGGACTTCAAGTGTGTGAACGCGTCAGTTCTGGACCCAAAGCTGGACTGCGATGCACAGACCACCTGCAGTGGACGAGGAGTAAAACAAGCCTTTAACTTTTTGTAAACTCTTTTATCAGTCAATATTGAAATGCCAGACACTTCACTGGCTGTTTTTCATTCATCCAGGTGTGCAACGATCAGGGACACTGCCACTGTGACAACGGTTGGGCTCCACCCAACTGCAACAAAGCAGGCCGAGGTGGCAGCATCGACAGCGGTCCTGCCATGATAGGTACATTTAAATTCTTTAAATGTGCACACAAAGTTGTAGAATTACAACCTGCACAGAGTTTTAGTCTAAACTTTGTTTGGGAATGATTATCATAACTGTTTTGGTTTATTATTAATTGATTTCAACTGGATGTTGATCAACTACTAATCTTAATTGGGTTTGAAAACAAGAATTTAGTTCACATGTTGCCAAATTTGTAAAATGAATCTCACATCGATGTAGAGAAACCCAACACGTTTGTTAGTTCATTTAAATTGGTTGGTTTCTTGGTACTGATCTATCTTTTAGGCATAATCCACAGAACTTGGTCTTTGCATAAGCAGCGTTGGCCTACTTTAACTTTCCTGAAATCATTTAGGAAGTGTTTGTGATCCATGAGAATTTGGACATGTTTGTGTTTTTTTTTCCTCCTTTGGTATCAGTGGCAGCATGATACCACAGGGTGATGCTACCACCACCATGCTTGAGAGTTTGATCATAAAATGTTTCTTGAAAAAGGATTTGGCATGTATATGTGGGTAGCTTATCAATTATAGTTGAGGTTGATGATTTTCAGAACGAGTTTTCTTCTTTTTGGGTGGCCAGCAGTCCATGGTGGACAATAGTGTTCAGGGAATTTTATTGGTAGTTCTTTTTCCCCACACATCCTAACCAATTTTCCATCAAATAGTTTTATGTCAATAGTTGAAGCTGGATCTGCCGTTAGCAGAATAATTCTCAAAACTGATTTTGAAGTAAATAAAGAAGAATAGGTTTGAATTTCTTCTCAGTTGTATTGATAGTTTGTGCTCCGTATTTACTGCTCTGATTTTTAAGAAAATCAATTCAAGTGAATTCTAGAAATTCAACAAAGAGTAGTCACATATCAAGCCATAATTATGCCAGGAGTTGGTTAATGGTTGTAAGTTGTATCTTAAAAATGGGAAATGCATGATGAATCCAAACTTGTTCTTTAAAAATGCATTGCAGTTTTTTAGTTTTTGGATGTTTATGAATATTTTTAAAAGCACATCAACAGATTGATTTACTTATTCTCCAAAATGAGTGAATTACACATATAAGGAAACCTGTAAGTGGTGTTTAGCAGATGTCAGTTATTAAGTTCATATTTGTTGCTTGTCGCATTTCTTGGCGAATCATCTCTGAGAGCAATGTTGTCTCAGATTACTCCCTCAGGAACGGGCTGTTGATCTTCTTCCTGTTGATTGTCCCTCTTCTCGTCGCTGCCATTCTGGTGCTGCTCTACGTGTTCAAAAGGGATTCCCTAGACATCTGCTTGAAACGAAGAAAAAAGTAAAATAAAGAAAATGTCTAACTTACAACACGCATTCATATAGTCTTTTAAAATGTGCATGTTTTTGAGAAAAATCTTTCCTGCTTTTGTTTAAAGAACACGCAGTACAGGAAACAGAAATGCAAATGCACCAACAAATGGTAACGTTCAAACAGATGTGACAATTCAGCCTCCAAGACAAGTTCCACCTGAAAGGGTAAATTTACATGTCAAAGTAGTCACAGCAGCAGCTTTATTATTATTATTATTTTTATTTAAAAGACATTTGTCAGAAATAATGTTTCAGTTCATATCTTCCTGTTTTGCTTTTTGTTTTAGACATATCTAAACTGGATATTTCTTGTTTTCTTTTTGTGTGTTTCTGTATTTAACTCCAGCCTCCAGTTCCAACAGTGACCTCTGTTCCCATTTCAGGGTATGCATTTTATTTTTCAAAACATATGTAATATCTGTGAACCTGTTTTTTATTAATTTTGTATTAATTCAGTTATGTTTTATCAAGTTTATAATTCACAAAAAAAAAATCATCTCAAGGCTTTTTACAAAGCAAAATAACTAAAATATATAATCAAATCAGTGCAGATTCAAATGTATTTAAGTTCATTCCAACTTTGCTCCAGTTAATGCAGTTTAATCAAATTTAGTTTATAATTCCAGTTGGTAAAATTAAAAGTTTTCGATCTATGGAAGAATACAAAACAACACGGATTAATTAAAGCCTTTCATTGCACAACTTACAGCTTTAACTGAGCCCAAATATGCTGTCAGTTTCAGGTATGGAGAAGTGGATTACTGGTCCCAGGAAGCAAACGAGGCTCCTTCCCGACCTCCAGCTCCAGTTCAGGGCCCAGGAGTGCCAAGGCCGATCCCCGTGAAAGACATTAGTTCATAAAGTGAACTAATGCTCACTTTATGTCAGGGACGCTGTGAGTGTATGAGTGTGTTTCACAAAAAGAGACTGTTTTAAATCACTGTGACAATGAGACACTCACTGGGACTTGTATGCACTCTAAAGCTGACTGTAGTTTTTGTATTTGTGGTGTTGGATGCACCTTGTAAGTATCGGAGTGGGTGGGTTTTATTCGGTCTTTATCACTTTGTGTTAAATCAGCCACATAAATTGTCTATACAAAAAAAAAGAAATATTTTTAGGGATTTCCTTCCAACTTATTTTTAAAAGGTTGTTAGTTTTGAGTGTTGATATTGTAATATAGCCCGGAAGATTGTAATGAAGTTAGTTCAAATATATTTTACACATATGAGCTTCTCATGATCCACATTTTGGTCAGTCATAATTTTTGAAGACACGATGCGCTGAAATAAAAACATGAAAGTTATTTTGATATTGATTTTAATGAAATAAAAGATGCTTGGTATCTATTTCAATCAGATTTATGTTTTCTTTGAATGTGCATTTATATCATGTTTACATATGTTTCAGGTTATTTCTTAAACTACAGCTGCATTTCATTAATGATTTATCAGTGCATGTAATTAAGCTTATGAAGTGAAACTCATGTAATCATAACACACAAGATACATTTATGTATGTACACACTGTATGTTTCTTTCTGTTCATTTTGTTGACGTTGGCTTACTTTCAGTAAAAACCCCAAATTCAGTTTTCTCAGATCATCGTAAATCTCGGCCTCATTCAGCCCATAATGCTGCTGAAGTGTTAAAGAAACCTGGTTGCTTTAACAGCAGAAGATGCCATGGCTCCAAATCATTACTGACTGAGGAAACGTAACGGTACGACTGATACCTACTGGGCATTTAAATACCTATATCAAAACAAGTTTACTTTTCAATTAGCATAAGCTAAAACTAAAATGTTTCTGAGCCTGAAACAGAAACCTTATTCGTCGGCAGAAGTCCAGATGGAAAACATGAGGCCCAAGAACAAGCTGGAAGCTGTTACATAGAGTATAAAGTAAGCTCGGTTGATGATGTTAATCTTTCTGGTCCAAAAGCCAGGCTTCCCTTCCTCCTTGGCATTGTTCGTAAGCAGAGACAGCATCCTTGTCAACTCCTTCAGTCCATCTGAGAAGTTGACAAACACCTGCAGCTGCTCCGTCAGTCGGCTGCTGCAACCCTGGGAAGATGATGACCCGGTTAAAAACTGAGATTCTAAAAATTATAATTAGACAGCAGGCCACTTTATGAGCTTTTTTGTTTTCTGACAGAAAACTATAAGGAATGAGTGTGAGTTGACGCTGAAATCAAAACACTTTTGCTCAAGCAGTCTTTCCAGTGGGGGTCTAACACCAACCTGCCCCAGGTCATTTGGCATCTTGTCTGCAGACACACCAAAGATACATGAACACCCAGACCAGTTCTTCTCTTCTAGAGGAAACAGAAAAAGCACATTGTGCCTTCAGGTTTGCTGATTAGAATATTTGGAAGGCAAAAGATAAGGACTTTCTTCCTCCAACAGACTGGTAGTCTAGTCCTTCATTTGTGTTGTAAGTGTTTTTCTATATAGAAACATAACATTGTTTTTACTATAAGTTTTTAACAAGTGTAAAATACTGAAACTTGAAGTTCTCTTTTACGTCTTGACCAAATTCAGAACAGTTTTCAGATTGAAATGAGTCGTCTCAGTTGGATCCAGATTCTACTGAACATGTACGGAAAATATCAGAAAGTGTTTTTAAACAGAATTTTTAGTTTTGTTCAACTAAATTTTGTATTGGTGCTAAATTTGTGTTTTACCTGACATTTTCTTAACCTGTTGGTCTCAGGTTGTCATTCACAATGAAAGGACCCAAATTTGGGTCCTCTAGTGACAGACAGGTTAAGAGTTTACTAGTTAAAAGCCCAGAGCACATAAGCTACTCTTCTTACCTTTCTCACAGCTTCGGTAGTTGGCGTTTCTATCTTCACTGTCTGCACAACCGTCTTCCAAACTGTGTCTTTTGTTCCTCTCATTTTCCTGGGATTCAGACTCGATGTCCATCAGATGCATCATCAAAATCGTCTCCAGGAGGCTGAGGAACATCAGCGCAAAAATCCCAATGCAGTAGACCGCTGGGGAGACATTATTATAAAGATGGTGACAATGAAGAAATCACCACTTAAAATATTTGACAATGCTGCTGAAACAAGTTATTCAAAACTTTAAACATAAAATTAAGCAGTGGGAAACAAGTTTATCACAGTAGTAAACTGTTAAAAAAATTATCCTTATGTTTCATTCCCATTTTCCACATGACTTTGAAAGACAGTCAACAAATGTTCAGCTGTGTTGAGATTGGGGATCTGGGAAGGCCATTCCAAAACCTTAATATTAGCCTGGTTAACATCTTCCAAAAACAGTTTACGTATTTTTACAAAACTCCTGTATTTTACAAAATGAATATTTTGAATATTTTTTGGTTTTAACTGATTGGAAATTGTATGTTGAATCCATTCTGGAAGGAAAAAAGGCAAAAAACTTTTCATTTTTATCTTTAAAACTTCATTGCATCTTCCCAGAACTTTGTTTTACATCATTAAAATCTCAGAACCAATGAATAGAGTAGAGCAGGACTTGATCCACTTACCAATCAGCGGGATCCTGTCTGACGATGACGGCAGAATGTCATTGAGAATGAGCTGCATCACGGTGACAGCCAGCAGCACCGTGACCTTGAAGCTGATCTTCTCACCTCCTCTGTCTGAGATCAGGAAGGAGGACAAATCCAAGCACAAGAAGAAGAGGACAGGCAGCAGGAAGTTGACGATGTAGAGTATAGATCTCCTTTTCATATAGATCTGTAAAACAGATGTTTGGACATGTCATTGTTCTGGTTTCTAGATCTACTGTGAGTTTAACACTTCACCAACTCACACTAATTCAGTCTATAACACTCCCTAAGCTGCTGTGAGTATGTTAGGATTAACAATATCCATTATTTGAAGAAAAGACACAGACTGACGGTAAACATAAGAAGCCACCAGTTACTTACAGTGTAAATAATTGTGTCTTGCTGGGATCCAAATGGTTTAACCGTTTTGTTGGTAACTGTCATTTTAACAAACAACCACTCGTACTGCGTTCTCATCAACTCACGTGACCAATTAGTAGTCACTGAGGAGTTCAAGGAATATAACAGGTTAATTTCCTCAACTGGAATTGAAGAGAAAACAATGTTTTAACCCGGGGAAATGGACACAGCATGCAGCGGTACTTTAACAGCAACTGTAACAGCATCAATGCGAGCAGTTGGACAATAATCTGTCTCATTATCTCATCTAGAAGTTAGTGATTTAAAATTGCTGGTAAATCCTCAATGTGCTAAAATATCTCAATAAGATAAAAATCTGGTTTGAACTATGTGTTGTAAAGTCTCATGCAATCAGCACTAAAGCACTAGTAATCACAGAAATTAAAAACACAATTGAAAAATAGGAGAACAGCTTAAAACCGACTTACCGGAGTGAACAACTGATTTAATTGAGAGAGTGCAGCTCTGAACGTCAAATGGGAATTTAAAAACCTGCATCATGCATGTGCTGACCAGCACCTGGTCATTCTGGATTAAGACTGTGCCATTGTTGGTGATGGTGAGGTAAGGACTTGGAGGGGCTTTGTCCCTTTCTGTCCTGCAAAACAGAAATATTTCATTTATGATACATGCAGTCAGGACAAAGCAACACTTTGTCAGCCAGCACCAGACTGTGGATATTGTAACTTTCATCTCTTATTTTTCCACCACTGTGCTCTTTTCTTTTGGTATGTCAACCTATGGGGACATTAACCAGTTCACACCCATATTTTGTACTTATGCTATCTTGTCCTTTCCTACTCATTTTGTTCATGAAGGAAAGCTTTAAACCCAATATACTTAAATTACTTTCTCTGCTGATTGTAGTCGAGTATTTTGAAACATATATGAAGAGAAACAGTGAGATAATCATTCTAAGTTGACAAAATTGTGACCTTTTGGCTTTCCGTAGTCCAGTACTTGCTCTCTGCTGCATATGTAACTCACTGTAAGCTAGATGTCTTTCACAATTATACGGTAAGTTGCATATATTTTAAACTCCCTGCTTGTCTTTGTATATCAGCCCCTCTTTTCCTGTGAGTTTTGTGATCACAAACTCACATTATCATGTGACTCCTGCGAGTTTCTGTTTGTTTGTTTTTTCCTTCCCATTCCTGAGTAGCTGATTCTTCATGCTGACTCTCCAAACAGCACACGGTAGTGCAAAGTGCCTTAAAAGGTGCCATGAAAGTTATCTTTATTTACTTATTTTCTGTTGACAACAAAATACAACAAATCTTCGGCTCATCTGATTTATTCTTCATCTGAAATCCTGCACGAGATTGTAATGACTAGACTGAGATGATTCAGCCACCAGAGTCACTTAGAAAGGTTCTGACCCCTGGGGATTTTCCACTTTGCCTTGCTGAGGACTCATTAGGACTTTGCCACTTTGAGGACTCATTAAAGGGCTGCATGAGTATTGTGTTAGTTGTCTCATGTGTCTGACAGATTTTCTTGTCTTTCCATTAGGTCCAAAAGTTATCATTTAGATGTTTGGCATATTAGTTTTGTTTAAACAGGGCAAGTGCATGCATATCCATACAGTACACTTACATTTCATCAATGGTGAGATCTGGCTTCCACAGAATATCTGTGGGAATTGTAACTTTTGTGATGTTACAGAATTTACTGGGATCCCAGGAAATGAAGTCATTCTGCCAGTGCTATGGAGAAAAGTAAAGAATGTGATCACAAATTTTAATACTACACACAATTTGGAAATATAAACATTTGAGAAAGCTTGAGGTCCAAAATTGGGTCGAAGAACCTCCAAAAGCAGTGTTTGCGTTGACCTTAACTTGAGTCTCCACTGGAGAAATCTGACATTCATTTAAAATGTCATACATTCTACAAATTTCATAATTACCTTAATTATAATTTTGTTGCTCAGAGAAATATTAATAAAAGATAATACTCACCATAACTATCCAAACATATGGTACGAATGTCTGGTCAATCTCTCTCTGCAAACAAGCATATCGGTGAAGACCAAAAAAAAATATTTAAAGTGACCATTATGTGTTCAAATTAGGTGAATTAAAAAGATATGTACTCCATTTTCACTAAAAGGTGGCACAGTAACAAAAATGTTTTTCCTTTGCTAATGTAAAAGAAGAGAACACAAAGAAATATGTAACAGCTGAAGTATTAACTTGTTTATTCAGTTTTCACACAAGTTATCATTTAATAGCATATATAGCTGATACATGTAATTAGAAAAGAGTTTGAAAATGCTTCTGCAGTTATATTGCAATCATTTATTTTTTAGCTATTTCTTTCTTGTGACTGTTTCTGCAGACATTTACTATTTTGAATTCTTCAATAGGTTTGAGCACTTCAAAATATTAATCCTGGCAAATGGTAGACACAACAATAAAGGTATATCGTCTGAACTGACAAGGTTGGGTTATTGTAGTGAAAGTTGAAGGAAAAGAAAACTTAGCTTTGCACATATTTATTACCCAGATATATGAAATTTGGCAATTTCCCAACTTACCACATCCAGGATAGCGTACAGCAATACTTCCAGATGGACCTTTGTGGCTTTTCTGAAGTCTTTCACAGGTCGGGTCAAGGAAAACAGATCATTGCCTCTGTTCAGGTTCAGGTAGTTTAAAACCTCCTGATAACTACACACTCTTTCAGAGGAAGCCACTTCTACAACTTCAAACACAAAGAGACAAAGAAAAATCCAGGCACAATGGCAGAAAAATGCAAACATTTCTTCTATAGATTACAGCTTTATCTGTGTTATTTACTTGTGATCTTGAAATTAATTCATAATTTATGAGTCTCTGCTGATCAGTACAGAGAGAACTCACATTTTATCAATTAAATGTCCAATGTTTGAACATAAATGTGCACTTATGGTTAACCACAACAATGCTTTTTACATTCCCCGGAGTCTGACAAAACCCTCCAGGTCTGATGTAGTTACCATAAGTAAGTACAATACCGCAATGGTAAGAAAATATAAATAAATTAAAATCTATTTGTAAAGTATAAAGGAACCTGTCTCTATGGGTAATTAATGTTTAAACTATTTTCAGCTTTACAAGATAACATTACACAGGTTCAACTGTTTCAAAATTTCTTTGTAAAAACCACCACCACCAAAAACAAACAAAAAAAAAAACCCTTAGCTTCATAAAATAAATATAATTTAATAGGGGATGGAGGCTGCTTCTGCTAGTAGAGAAATATTGCAAATAAAAATGAGAGCACAGTAGTCTAGAAAGCAGATTCTATAGTAACACAATCCTGACATATTATTCTAAGTTTTTTAATAATAATAGTAATAGTAATAATAACAAGAATCATAATAATACCTATAAGGACAAAGTGAAGAATGAAGTCCCTCAGCAACATTTCTATGAAGTCCAGGCACTACGATGGTTGAACAGCAAGTGTGCAAATGAGATCACAGCAGAAATATTATACGGCCAAATCTTTCATAGGCAAGGGGTGGGCAAACCTCATCCCTAATCAAATTCTATGATATGATGGGTTTATTTGTTTATTTATCAGTATAAACATGAAATGCTTACACCAATATCTGGCGCAGTTAAGATTCCAAAAAGTAGATTTTTTTTTTAATTAGAGAAAATTGAAAAGTGGAGGAAAATTTGGTTTTTATTTGGTAGTTTTACAACTTGGTTCATACTTGAAAGATAATAAATATGGTTGAAATTAAATGAATTTTTACAGCTTTTTTTTTTTGTACAAAACTTTATTGTATTTTTAAAAATAAGAATAAGCAATTTATTATCCGTCTTATTTAAAGACGGATCAAAAGACAGAGATCTATGGAGAGTGAAGAGTTTTAATAAATTAATGACACAGTTAAATAGTTATTACATAAGTTATTTATTGTCATTTAACACTCTTCACTCTAAGAGTCAGGACATACTGGAGCAGGAGTTTGGTATTAAGCTCTGAAAATGTAAAAAACAAGTTTATCCCTCATATGGTTTATATGTATATAACACCGGATGTTACTTCTGGTGAAAACTTCGAAGAAAACAGGAAGTGGTAGAAGGATGATGGTTTGTTTTTGTTTTTTGGACAATGTGTAGCTGGCTCCACCAGAGCTCTCACAGCATCACATAGTTCATAAAATGTTGTGTGTCATTCAAACATGTTGAATCCATAGTTTTTCTGTAAAATCACAGACTATATTTTTCCTCAAAACGCCACATTCGGACCTTGTTGCTCCAATGCCTGAATCAGACACTGACTTCTTCTTGACTGATATCTGATGAGCGCTAAATGGCTGAATTATGAATATATCTCATGTAACTTACATTCGCCGCTTCCATGATATTGAATGACATCGTCTGACCAAACTTATTTTACAAGTGATTTTAATTTAATATCTAATGGGAACACTACAAACACGAAATTGCTTCTTTTTTTTCCCCAACATTAGCAGAATATAGATTAAGATTTGTACACATTTGTAATGGAAATGGAGCTAGAGACAGAAACGCAGCGTGTTCAACACATAACAAAAAAAGGAGGAATATTTACAGGATGAAGAACAATTTGAGTTACAAAGACACTTATTTACCATTTAGGATTAATAGTTTTGTATTTCTATGGTGCTACATGCTAATTGTTTTAATAGTACAGTGTAGCGCACATTAATTGCTGTTGGTATTAACCTAATATGATTCATCTTTACTCCACCCTCATTTTCCCATCACACACATATGGTTCTATGTGTCTTATCACACTGTATGACTTTCATTTTTATGTTACATCCATCAACATTTAATAACTGCAATGGCTTGACATGCTAAATATAGACAATCTAATTGTTGTTTAATAAGTCGCACTGTTTGAACCTGTTTTTATATGTTCAAACATTTCACAAACCTTCAGTTTGTGAAACGTGTGTCATTTGTTAATAAAGAAGCAAAGCAATCTCTACATGTTTATCTAATATGGAAGTGTTTCATTTAAGCAAGTTACATTTTCAGCTGCTGCCCACATTGAAAATATTATGGCTAAAAATGCAGTGATGGATATGACATAGCATATTGCAAAAATCTTGTTGATTCTATCAGCCAGTTTGGTCCAGTAGCCTCTCTTTTCTTCCTGCTTATCGGTGTTGAGAAGAGTAATCATTTTCTTCATCTCCCTCAGTTCATCTGAAAACATCTCCAGTGTCAGTGGGCCCTCCGTGTGCCGGATGCTATCCTGCAGAAGTAGTAGAGGTTATTCAGAAATGTTTTGATTGGACCCGACTTAACCAAATCGATCAAATTAGAAAATAGACTTCATTTATGTGTTATTTACTGAATGATTAGATCAAAGCTTTTTCATGTGTTAAAAAGATTCAGATCTAATTTTAGTGCCGAATATGTGGGAAAACATCAAAGTGATATATCGACACATTTTTCATATAATTTTCTGAGCTTAAGTGATTTTGCCCAGATGAATAGTCAAAAAATGTCCATCATTACATGAGCCGTAAGAGTTCAAACCAAAACAGACTTGCAGCTGTTTTGCATCACAAACATTCTTTACTTTTTCTTTTCAGTTAGTCACATAAAATCCCAGTAAATGACGCTGGCATTTGTGATTGCAACATGTCAAAATGTTTAAAAAAAGATCAAGGGTTATGAACACTTTTACAAGGTACTGTAATAAGTTGAAACTGATTATACTCCTAGCTGTAAACTAGGACTTTAAATAAAGACTTCTAACCTCTTTGGCTGCAGATCCCCTTTTAAAACCTGATTTGTCAATCAAAGATGCACCGTATTTCTTCATTGCTGTGAAGATGTAACAGATGTAAAAACAGTAGAGTTTATTAAACTAAAATTGAATAAATCTGCATGAATATTCAGTTTGTATAATCTGCCAATGACTTTCTGTTTTATACCCTCCAGACTTGGGTCTTGGGCTGTTTCGTCGTCTTCTGATGCAGAATCCTTCTCAATCAGATACTTCACAAAAATGGTCTCTATGAGGCTGAGCATCATCATCGTAAATATCCCAAAACAGTACTTCACTGAAGGGGTTAAACAGCATTCGTTATTTAACACAATTATGCACGGCATTCTAGAACTATAATGTCATGAATGTTTAATTTTGAGCTTCATTACTTATAAGTGGAATGCTGTCGGAAGAAGAGGGCAAAATATCGTTGAGAATAAGCTGCATGACTGTGACGGCCAGCAGCACAGTGATTTTAAAGCCAACTTTTTCACCGCCTGTGTCTGACATGAGGAATGACACCAAGTCCAGACACAAGAGGTAGAGAATAGGGAACAAGAAGTTGACAATATAGATTACAGAACGCCTTTTCACAATGATCTGTAAGATGAAAAGGTGAGAATTAAAATAGGAACAAATTCTTGCATTGTAAACAATTTCCTATTACATGACTAAAAAAGAAAAAAAAATACTAACACGAAAATATAAATGTCCAGTTGAATTCCAGGTATGGACTGTCATGTTGCAGAACAACCACTCGTATTGCGTTATTATTTTCCGGATCCTGTTTGTGTATGTTTCATGGCCAAAGCGGCTTTTCAGGTATAAATCTTTTGCTGAGGTGAAAAGAAAAATCAAGTGCAAGGTTTCTCAGCAGGAAGAAAAAATAAAATGCATGTGGCATGTTTACAATTAAACATGGTGTAAAGTTGCCAAAAAACTACTTACAATCATATATGTTTGAGACGAATGTGATGTTGCAGATTTGCGTATCAAAAGGAAATTTGTTCACTTGCATCCTGCAGTTGGTCGTCACCACTTGATTGCTGCTAAACTCTGTCTTGCCATTGGAATTAATCTTGAGATTGGGACTTGAAAGAGACTTTTCCTTTTCTGCCCTGTAGGAAAAATGTACCTCAGTCATCACATACAATGTTCTGTCTCAAAGGTCCTTGACTGTTAAATAATAAATATAAATCAATCATATACTGAATGGATAAGCTTACATATCCTTAATTATAATGTATGGCTTCCACAAAAGTTCACTTGGAACTATGATTTTGTCGATTCCACAAAAGTCATTTGGAGACCACTTAATGTAGTGGTTGGTCCATTCCTACAGAGGAAAAAGAGAAAAGGCAAGATAAGGTTAACAAACATAACTTCATATTCCAAAACATATCTTTTAGGTACGTCCTACCATTTTAATGCCAAGATGAGTCACAAAAGTCTGGTCAACCTCTTTCTGGTCAAACAGAATTGAAACAGAATGAATGAAGAGATTGCTGACAGCTTACTGTACAACACTCAAGGAAAATGTGATCAAAATTAACTGCTACGAAATGTTAAAAGTAGCAAAGTGGCTAAATTGTATTGGTGTAGTGTTTTTCACATGTCAAAAAACAATTTAATGTAAAAACGGGCATAAAGACATGAAGATAAAACAGCATAAATGTAAGAGATAGCTTAAATCTTGTTAAAAGCCAGGCTCTCTGAGGATGCATCCATTTTGATTTTTGAATATTAATGAATCATCAGCACTAAAACAAATTCACGCTGGGGTATAGATACAAAACATTTCTAGGGGGATTTGCAGACAAATTCAGTCCATTCTACCCGTTCTGTTACCCACAGCGCCTTCTAGTGGCAGGTGTGGAAAACTAAAACAACAAATACTTGTTTTGCTTTTTCTGCAAAAATACTGAGAACCTATTTTGTAAAGTGAAAAAAAAAAATGTTTCTCTCATGAGTGCAGTGTGTAACTGATGTCCGTCAACAGTTTTTATAATTAAATTCAATTATTGTCTGGGGTGATCTTGGTGAGAAAGGGGAAATAAAAGGCTGGCGAATCACAGTAACACTCTCTCATTATGTTGGCTGGAAATGTTACCAGGCAGAGTTACTGCTTCATTTTATGAAAAAGGAAAAACAATGTGCAAGCTGAGAAAAAAAAAGACGTGAGGGGAAGGGCTTAGCCCATAAAGGGTGGAAGTTTGATTGTCAGGAGCTGTGTTCAAAAACGAGAACAAGATGTTTGTGATGGAAGCTTGAAATCTGAACCGAAGAGGGTCAGATTTCACAAAGAGTGGAGGATGTTCATAAGCAAGCAGGATTATTTTGATTGCGAGAGTTATCAAGAAAGTACCTCTATGAATGGAAGACGTTTATTATTTATACAGCAGTTTTTTTTTTAATCTGCTTTTGGTTTGATTCCCAGCTCAGAAATCAATGCACTGCATCTTTCTTTCAATGCATTTTGTTTAGCTTGTGAAGTTAAACCAAATGTGGAGGAATAACCACAGGGCAGCAGAGCTTCCTGGATTATAATCAAGATTGGCTTTGATGTCAATACTAATGTTGCAGGAGCTAAGGCTGTCATTGTTTGATAAAATAAAATAAAAACTACACAAGGTGTTTAATTTTTTTACAAAGCAGCTACATAAAATAACCAACTGGTTGTACTTCAGCGCTATCTATCATAAGAAATACATAATTTAAATGTTTTTTTTTTTGTTTTCAAAAAAACTGAAAGAGTTAGATATGTTTCACTTGTAATAACCTCTCTCTTGATTACTTGAATATAGTAGAAAAAAAACATAGCGACTTACAACATCCAGAATGGCCCAGGGATCTAATGTGAGATTCACCTCAAGAGGGCGTTTTCGTTTTTGGATAGGCAGGCCCATGCTGTACATAGCATTATCTTTGCTCAGGTTAAGGTGTTTCAGAATGTCGTAATCTGTACATTCCCCAGCTGAAATATCAAAAATAGTTGGAATCAGTAAAAGTATTGGTTTAAAGTATTTTGTGTTATTGATTTTCACATTTAGTAATATGTTTTGGCCTGAGATAATGTTTGCAAATACGTTAATGTAAGTCTTTCTTCCCCTCCCACCAAACCAGTGGAATAGCAAAGATTATTCTAGTAAAAATATAGCTAAATGTACTGAATCTGAGTTAATTTACAACAACAATGTAGAAACAATTTTCGAAAAAACAGATGTATTAACTTGTACTTTTTGGCTGCTTTTGTCCCTCCATATTGGCAACGACTCCACCTGTGGACAAGAAAAACTCAGGCATCGTTTTTTTTTTCAGTGCTATAAAAATACAGTTTATTATCTATCTGAATCAGAAGACTTGATCTTAGAACATCACTAATCTACTTAATCAGCTTCAGAGCTTTGTAAAGCAAAACACTTAAACACAGAACAGCTGCTGGGAGCCAAAGAACCAACTCTGGCAGAACCACAAAGGGATCCGGAGGCTCCAAACTCAGTGGCATTAGTCTTATTGTTATTAAGGCTAAAAAGTTCAGTGTCATCTGTGATTTAATATCACATAGAAAATCTAATAGCTGTTATACTGAATATTTGTTGCCAAATTTAGTCAGATAGATCTACACTGCAAAGACACAAAATATTACAAAGTACTTTTGGTCTTGGTCTGGTCTTCGGCAGATTATTTCACTTATGACGAAACATTTTTCCTCATGTTATGAATTAAATAATCTACCAGTGGAACTAGTACTTTTTCTACAATTTCAAGGAATTATTGACTCAAAACAAGGTCCTATATCTTGCTTAAAAGTCAACTATAAGTTACTTTTGTCCCGTTTCAAGTGTACTAAAATATTTACGCCGCAAACTAGACAAAAAATACTTGGTGGTAATTTATATTTTTGCAGTGATGTCTTGTTTGGAAGAATGAAAGCGGAGATTTTTCTTAAAACTAGACTCAGAAGGAAGCGTATATAAAATTTACAGAAAATAGATAAAATAGATAGAGGAAAAT